TTGCTCCTGTTTATCTTCCAGAAAGAACAGAGATTAGGCCCACCTTATTGGTGAAAAAACTATATAAAGAGCAGAATAGATGGCTTATCTCACTCCAAAGCTGCCTTCTTACTCTGCTTCAACATGGATTTAACCCAAAAATGAAAATCATTAAAGAGTACTGGCAATAGGAAATGGTTACCTTGACTCAATAATTTACTGCTTTTCAATGAGACTGAAACAGCGGAGGAGAAATCTGAATCGGAGAAGAAAATAATAATCTGAATCAAAGAAACACTTTGTCTTCGCACTATTTTGCTCCAGGGCATGAAACTTACCGATTGGTTTAAGGAGATCTGATACTCCCCTTTGCTTAGACAGTCAGCCAAAACCTCACGACATTGGCCTCAATGAACCCGGACTCTGTTCTTCCATCAACGTCATCCTCTTTCTCCGTTCCTCATCACCATCTACATCCACCTCACCTATCTCCTTCACCGTAACCAACATTGGCGACCTTTACTATTCATGTCCAGCATCACAGTCGGCCAAACCAGAACAGAAGCCTTGCGAACTCGACCCCATCTTTTCCAATGATCACCAACGAATTTGCCTCCTTTGTTCCTCACCCTCATCATTTTCTTCCACCGTTCACCAGCAAGGAGAGTTGGAAGCCATAACATTGAACCTGGTTGGGAAAAGAAGGAATTTTGTAGCATGAGAGAAAGTGAAAAGCTAAAGCCATAAGGAGATGAGAGGGGAAAAAAAAAAACCTGGTTGGGAAAAGAAGGAATTTTTAGACGTCGTCCATGCTTCTTTTAGGGTAAACTTGCAAATTGTAAAGGATGAATGAGAATGTATGGAGAGAGGGATGCATGAGATCTGAAGAGGACAGATAAGGATAAAATCTAGAGAGGTGTTTTGAAATTTGAAGGAAAAAATTAACAGAATAAAATTGTAAAAGTGACACAGATATGGAGGAGATGTGTCAAAAAAAGATAGAGATACGGAGGAAGAAAAAAAAAAAGAGGGAAAGTGGAGAGATGAGAATTTTGAAATTTGAATTTGAAGTGTGATAGGAAAGCTTTGTGGACAACAAAAAAAGTGATAGAGATTTCGGGGGCTCCTTAACTTCATAGTTTGATAGCCGGCACCAAGCCATATGAATAATTAATGAACTGTGCAGCTGACAACGGAGCCCAAAGCCTTTTTTTTTTTTGGTATTGAGCCATGAATCTCTTGTGAACAGTGTTTTGAGTGTGGAGCCATGATTGAGCCGTCTAAAAGCATCAGCTTGAGTGGAAGAGAATTAATAGATATATTGATAGCAAAAATTATGAAGCCCTCACTAAAAGATTTCTGACATTGAAAGACCAAATGTTATTAAACAATGCCATTATATAAAAAAAGAAAGAAGCATAGAGTGAAAACAAGACATTGGATATAACAAAGACCATATGGATATGCATTTTCATGCTGATCACCATATTCTGTAATCTTTCAGTTTCCCTATGCCATTGATTTTATCGCCATGAATATATATTTAGCAACCACTATATTCCAATGATTAATCTGTGGGCCAATGCCTAGTCCTTGTAAAATCACCATATAGTACAACTGTCTGCAATCTACATTAAGAATCGTAACTAACGTTCTTGTACTTTTGTTTACGTTGTCAATAATCCTTTGCATAATAGAACAAGTCGGAAATATATTTACCTCGAAACATTGTCCTAAACAATGACCTATACGGTTTGAACCAGTATTAGTATTACTTTATCATCAAGTTAGGCTTGATTATGAAGTCAGAGACAAAGTTGATAAGCCTCAACTCACAGTATACTACTGATAAAAACCAAGCAGTGATTTCGATCTCGTGAAGATCTAGGTAAAATTTTCACTAATGATTTCTCCGTCATAGAATCTACTTTATAATATATATACCTCTCATTCATCTGATATTTCTGATCACATTTATCATCTGAATCATGGGTTGTGGGATGAGCTGTCTCAGGCATTCGTCAGAACCCAAATCTGCAGAACAATCTGCAGAACCCAAATCCAAGTGTCCCAAGAGATCATTGCCAGATAAGCAAACAAGAAGGTTCAAGGACAAGGAACACCACAAGATGTTGACCCTGCAGATGCAGAAGGATTTGGAGTCTTGGGATTATTCATTGACACTAGAGGATTGCCTCCTACATTCTCCAGCTGGATTCAAGAGCCCTAGGAAAAAGATTCATCCTTCTTCTCCGGGACAAGTTCCCAGGCGTTCGATAAGCGAAGCTAAAGACAGCATGTGCTTGGACAGACCCATGATGTTCAATAATAACTGTAAACAAGAAGAAGAAGAAGAAGAATGTTTATCAGTGAATGTTAAAGAAGAGGAGAAAAAGGTACGCTTTAAGCTTCCTCACGTGGTGATACTATACTCACCAGAAGAGGAGCCTCACAGTCATTGTAATACAAGTGAGGATTCGTTCTACGTGAGGTTGGAAGAAAATTGTGGGGGAGGATCATTTGAATCGCCGGACGAGCTTCGTTTCAGACTTGCAGTGACCACTCTTCCTCATGCCTCCTTCTCTTCCGGGCTCTGAAAAAAAAAAAAAAAAACAAGTCAAGTTTCTAATTCATTAAAAACGTACGATACTGATGTTGATGCAGTTTCTTAATTAATTTGTGAAGTTTTAATGATGCTCCAAGAATTTGTGCAACTTGTTATGGCATATCCATATGGTTTTGTTGGGATTCAAAAGCGCTTTTATACCTATCTTGTCTCATGTCGGCATTATGGTGGATTGTCAAATTCATCACTGCTCAGAATATAAATCCCATGCCGTTAGCAGAAGGAAAAAGCTCATCGTCTACCCCAGAAAGCCTTTATGAGTTGGAAAATCACGCCATTTCAGTGGATATATATATATATATATATATATATATATATATATAGCTTCTCTTTGATTGAGCAAGCATACTCATATTCGGGTACACTCAATCAAAATGTGTGTATTTTTCTTAGTAAATCTTAAGATTAACTCCTTACATTAGGCTCAACTCTCATTATTTGTTGGATATTGCTTGTGTACTTTGATATTTTTCTTCTTTTAACCTATGCATGTGTGTTATAGGAAGATTTTAAATTTTTAATTACACTACTGAAGATTTTACTCCATGGACTGTACCGGGACGTCCTTTGTTTTGTTAAAAAAAAAAAGAAGGCTTAAAATAATAAAAAATTACTAGCTCATGGTTCGCGAGATTCTCACTCATCACTTGTTTTCCAGAATTAAAACATGAATTATGCATTGCTCGAGTTGCACGCGTGGTCAACTTTATTCCCAATTATGACAAATTGACAATGCATGATGTGTATATATATACACTCAAATTTTTGTTTTATTATTATTTGGTCATTTGTATAAAAACTAGTTAAGTTTTATTTTCATCCACCCCAATCCACTTTATTTATCATATTTATTTTTTTAAAAATAGTCTTTATAATGTTGCATATTAAATATTTAATCAAATAACACTTGATTAGTAAGGATATTTTAAGTAAAAAAATACCTACTTATTATAAATAACTAACTTAATTAATTTTTATAATTTATTTAAATTAGTCAATTCGCTCTTACCTCTTAGTTGTTATATTAAGTATTGGAGGCAGTATTATTCAATTTATTTAATCCAATTGATAATCCTAGATGGATATGAGTCGAACCTGGTCAAGCCAATACGTACCGTTTTAATTAAAGTAGTCAGAGGCTCCATTCATTTAATCGACGTGATCTTTTTGTTGGGCTCTTTAGAAAAATTTTGTCTCAAAGTTAACCCAGGATGGAGGATATCAGACACGCTTAACGTCCCTTTTTTTTTTTTTGAGGGAAGGGCAGCTCTAAGTTTTTGCTTACTAACCCAATTTTTAATATGAAAACTAATTAGATACTCTTATGGTTCTTAATATAAAACCTATTTAACTAATTTGATTAGATTAGGAAAATATCATAATCATTTTTCTTCTTTTTTTGAGCACTATCATAAGCATCTTTCTTAATACCCCATTTTCCTCTTCTACTTGATTATGGTTGAAGGAGTATCCATAGGGGTAATTTAGAAAAAATTAATAAATATGAGAAATAGGTTTTATATTTAGGACCAAAACCAACTCAATAATTGGATCCTATATTAAGGACCGGAGGAGTATTAAATTTATTTCTAAATATAAGATTTTAATCTGTTTTGTTTTTCAAATTTATAATATTTTCTTTAAAATGTTCTTATATTGATTATAAAGGGTTCCCACCAAGAAATATTCCGATGCACATAATTAAAGGGGACAATTTAGAAAAATCAACACATACTTGTTACAATTAACCAACTTAACTAATCTTCTTAATCTACCCAAATTAGTTATTTAGATTTATATCAAGGACTTGATGTAGTATTTTTTTTTTAATAATCACTACTTTCTATTAATGTAAGAGCTAGAAAATTAATTTATGAATATTAAAAAAAATTAGTTAAGGTAATTATTTATATCAAATAAGTATTTTGTTTCTTAAAATACTTTGTTAATCATGTGTATCGGAATGAAAACCCTTTTAGTATGTTCAATCACCATATGGACAAACTTGTAAAAATAAATAAATATGAGAGATAAAATTAATTAAGATCTTATATTATAATCAAATTGAATCTTTAATTAGTTTTTATATTTAGAACCGGAGTTAGTGTTATATTGGAATTAATATTTGAAGAATAATCATATTGAAAATTTTTGTGCAAATCACCAGGATTTTTCATGTATTCAATGGCCAGGATTTCTTCCTTTAGTGTTCGAACGCTGCGTTTCGGTGATGAGCATGCAGGGAAACTGGATCCGTTAAAAGTTAGTGTGAGAAAAAGTATCACTCACTAGCCGGCTCGCCCTCTATCCACCTAATGGTCGTCACAGTGCAATTGAATTTGGCTTAGCATGACAAGCGGTTGCTCACTTACTCTTCTTCCTTCTACTTTTCTTGCCTTTATTATTTTCTTTTCTGCGCCATTTTCACCAGTTCAGTGAATATGGCTATGGCTCATCACTTGACACGAGCATTTCTTCTTGCTGTGCTTGTGATCTCCGCCACCGCGGTGGTGGTCGGAGCTGCCAAGGTGCACCATGTTGCAGGAGGAGACCGCGGATGGGACCCATACTCCCACCTCTCTGCCTGGTCGTCAGCAAGAACCTTCAGAGTCGGCGACGAAATCTGTAAGAAAGACTCCCCCCATGATGCTATAATATAACATTGCCGCATGTATATATGTGGTGTGTGTGTGTTCTGTGGAACAAAACGACTGTCGTACGGCGCTCTTTATGATTTTCGGGCCTTACCCTTCTGAATGTTGTTGGTGTTTCAACTAGAAAAACAGAATCGCATTGCCCTTCCTACTACTTCTGTATTCTTGGTAGATTTAAGCAAGTGAAGAAAGAAATGGATAAGATTCAGATTCTTCCTTGAGTTCTTTAACATTTTATGTAGATCAACTTCTTAAAAATAATTTTACAATGTACGAGGTACAAGAGTTTTGTTTAACGCCTTAGGTTTTTGTCCAAGCCAAGGGCACTGTCTACGAAAAAAACAGTTTTTTGAACTTACGCTCACACAACTTTTTGAAACGGGCAGCGATCCCGGACTCCACAGCAGAGGGGGCAATTGCGGAGGTGAAAAGCAAGGAAGAATATGAGTCTTGCGATGCGAGTAACCCCATCAGGATGTACACGGACGGTCTACAAGCGATCCCGCTGGAGAGGGAAGGGATCAGGTACTTCCTCAGCACTGAGTCACACAATTGCAACAATGGCCTGAAGCTCCACGTAGAGGTTCAGCCCATGATGATGGCTTCTGGTGAAAGTGAAGCCCTTGCTGCTGCAGATTTTGAAGAGGCTGAAGGTCCCGTAGTTCCTTCTGCTTCGCCTCATCATGATAAAGTCTCTTCATTTTCTGTTCTCATTCTCATGTTTTGCGTCTCCACGGTGATGTTTGTGTGTGGCTAAGCACCATATTTGATTGTTTGTACTATCTAAGAATCCAAGACTCTTAGACTAGTTATGTCGTTCTCGGATCTGATATGTTAATGCTTGTATTGTGGACTTTTGTGGGGATTTGGATATGTCCTACGCCATGTGACTGTGATTTGTGAAATTAGTAAGGTTGCTGGTTATGTTTCTATTAGTATCAAAACTGCCATACTGATTAATGGCATTGTAGCTCTATATAGAATAAAAGCTACTAGAAGGTGATCCACCTGAATCGTATTCTTCTCATTTAATCGTCTCTCCGGTTTTGTTCATCATCTCACTCCGTCATCAGCCACCCGTGCGTTTTTCTGAAGAAGTGCTCTAGCAGAGAGAGAATTTTGATTCGCAACGATTTCCGGGGTTCCATCGTCTAAAATGGTTCCCTATTATAGACTAGGCGTCAGGGACTTGAATGAGCATGCATTCAAATTTGCCGTTACTAATAAAGGGGAACACCCTAAAACTTTAAAAAAGTAAAGCGGAAAAGAAAAACAACAAATGACAATTTTGCTAGTACAAGGGCATATACTGTGACGACCTCTGCTTTAAATAAACATCCCTCGTACATCAGATTAATAGCCTCTACACTTCACAACGGATTAAAATGTTGTTCGAAATTCCTAACCTGACAGCTGAAAGTTCTGAGGGGAAAAAAATACAGCAACTATAACTTCGTAATGCTGAATATCCTGATAGCATTATCCTACTAGTTCTTGATAGAAATCAGACACCACTAAAATGGTAGCATATAAGGCCCCTGAGCCTCATTAAATTACACCAAAGGACTTAGTGATACTTGAGGAAAACACTAGATGGTAGATACTTCTCGGCATACAACTATTGAACCAAGGATGGTTGTTACAATATCATACTAGTGCTCCATCAGTAACATCTAAAACCCCTTACTTTTTCTAGTCCTTTTCTGATTTTGGGGGTGGGAGGGAAGAGATGGGGAAAACCATAGAACTCAGAGTTGTCCACTGATATTGGTCATCATCAGAACTAAAAATCACGAGTAGTAAGATACAATATAGAATTTCAAAAGTGGGGCCCAAAAGGTAGGGAAAATAATCCAAGACAGTATTGTCTTTCTTTCTTTTCCTTTACTCTGTATTCTGTATAAGAAAAACAAATACAAACGCCGAGGAGTGAAGTGAATTTAAGAAGCACCAATTCATGAATTCACTTCCCATATTGCTGAATCGTCTACCACCACCAATCAATGCATCAGTCACCTATCTCTCAATATAACATAACTGGATCCGTTAGTCTTCTGTATCTTAGAGATTCTCTTCAAGATCTCAGCAAAAGCTTGTTTGTCCTGCATATAGCAACGAAACACAAGGTGTCATTTCAAACTTGGCAGGATATGCCGACATGCCATAACAATATCTTTAACTGGCATTATTATAATCCTTGGGCGGCCTCAAACATGTTCAACAGGACATCAAATTATGCACTCCTATCTTGCACACAATTTACATGTCCATCTAATTAAACAAGGCACTCCTTCCCCAAACAACCATAAGATTATTGGCAGTCAGCATTATCTTAACAAGTTGGTCCATACAAAATATAACACATAAAGTAAGTCTCTTAAATAACAGCAATCAATTTTTAAAATTTTACATATAAAAATTTAATCAAATATGAATTAAAAATGAGTTAACGAAGGCAGGATGAGAGGAAATACTGTGACAGTGAGATAAGAATGTAGATTACAGGAAAGGCATTCAGCATAATAGAGGATAAAGTAAAATCTTTTCGCAGAGCTTACCTCTGAAGATCTCAGTCTAGCCTTAAATTTAGCAACAAGATCCTGAGTGGTCACCGGAGTCTTCTGCATTAAAACAGCCCTAATTTCTTCCTCACTCACAGGCCCAGAAGCTGTGGTGGCAGATGACCCTGCTTTTGATGAAGGTTGTGGTGTACCTTTTGGTTGCGCATTACTTTTGGGTGCAGGCCCATTTTCATCTTTGACAGATGATTTTAGTTCCTGATTTATTCCATGGGCCAATTAGGACTTTCAAATTTCAATATCAACTAAAAGAGAAATTGTTCAAGTAATATTCGAAAATCAATGCTTCCAGAACAAAAGCTTTTCAGAAAACTTCTAATAGAAAGTAAAGAAGCCATATTGTATTTGAAGCATAAATAAGAAAACACTTGAGTTTAATTAGGGGAATTTTTGTCCAAATTAGTATAAAGAATTTTCTGAATTCGGCCATTATTAGTTCTGCATGTTCAATCAATTTTACATTTTTAGGAGTTATCCAAGCTCTAGGAATTATCAGGTTCGCATGCTCTCCCTCAGAAAGAAAAAAAGTAAAAGCCTCCATAGAAGCAAGATCAAACAAGAAATGACATACATTTTCTGTCTTCACCTTTTTTGGTGGTGCTATAGGTGTTTTTGTTTCCTCATTTAATTTTCTCTTCCCCTTCGAAGTCTTCGAAGTTGAAGGAGTTCCTCGAGCAGGTGCAGATGGTGCAGGCTTTGAAGGGCTGTTGTCAGCAGGTTCTTCCTTAGGAACATCCTTCTGCTTTGGAGCAACAACAGCTGGAAGCTCATCATCCATCTAAACAAACCAGACTGACCCATTAAGAGATGAAAAAGATCATCTTAGAGTTGATAATCATTTGCAAGAGTTTAGGGGGTCGCAATGAAATCCAATCAATTGAGTCAGCTGCTTCCCTTTTCTGACAAGTCAGAGGTTCATAGCAAATGCAAAATCAATAGATAACTAAACAGGTATTGCATTGCACAAAGCTTTGCTACCCGGTGATGTTATTAGTTGCCCCAAGATCAAAGAAAAGGACGAATAATTGAAAGAGAAAAGAAGGCACACAGTCCATACATCGTCGTCGTCATCATCATCCTCAGCTTCAGATTCATTCATCCCACTAGCTCGACCAAGCAGCTTCTTCAGCTCCTTGCCAGATTTACTTAAACCTCCCTCCTCTTCATTCTCTTCATCCTCATCATCATCATCCTGAAATTATAAGCCATAAAATAACACATTCAAGGGAAAAAAATAAATCATCTTCATCTTTATGGACAATAATCATCACTATTTAAGAAAGCACTTTTAGAGCTTTTATAAGTCGTCATACTTCAAGGAGCAGGTCGCGGACTTGACTTTCAACAACTGGGTAAATATTAGCTATAATATAAGACAGCTTAGATCCATGTAAGGAATAAAGTATTGGTGAAACTACAGTAGCACCCAGAAAGAAAGAAAGAAAAATTAGCCAGGACAATTTCCTATGAAGCACAATCGCAATCAGAGCATGCCTATGCCTGACAAGTTCGACCACTAAAATCAATGCTTCAAATAGACATTAGATACTTCGCATTTGTTATGTCAACGTCTATGCTCATAGGACAATTTCCAAAAAAAAAAAAGAAAATTCTTTGGGTCCAATTCCAGAGTTCCAATTGAATCAATAAATAGACTGCTCAAATAAAAATATGTTTAGATGAATTATCCTTAAACAGTTGCCTGTATGATCTCTAATTTTTTTCCAACAAAAACTACTTCCATATTTGTCTAAATAACTTTCTTCTTGCTACAGAAACTAGTTGCATCCTCAGTGATTACATTTTTATGGAGTACGGGGAAAAAAAAAAAGGGCCCAAAATCCAGCTATAGATGCAGGTAAAGACATGGCACCAAAACAACCATGCAAAATACCAACTGCGCAATTAGAACATAAATTTCTCAGTCAAAATGCCACTTGATTATCTGAAAAAATAATAATAACCTGCTTAATTTCAGGAGGAGCAGGAACTTCAGGAGCCAAATCTTCTCTTTCCTCAGGATCATTACCAACAGCTTCATCATCATCAGTGAATATCTCCTCATGCTCCCAATCATCACCTATAATAGATGTGTAACTATATCCATCAAAAAGAATAAGCACATAAAATATAAAATGACTAATTAGCATATATAATATATAAAGGAACATCCTATATTCTCTTAATTCATGCGAAGTTAAGCTTTCACAATATAACATAATATGATCACATTTACGAAGTACGCCAATGGGCAATATCATTTTATAAAGGCCTCACCTAACGTCTTAGCCTACAAAATCAACAAATTGTTAGGCTCTTGGCACTACGTATAAGCTGCGTATGTTTTCTCCTAGATTTAATGCCTATCATACTCCTCTAAGGCCCAAATTAATGCTTCCAAACCAAAATTTTGTGAAACTTCAGATCCCCAAATTTTACTTGCCCAGACAATGTGATTTCACCAATCACTCTCTAAGCTATAAGATCCGTTAAGCATTGTGATCCACAACAATGAATCCAGAAGAGAAAGGAACAAACGGTTCCTATTGTCTGCAACCGTTACTTTATTCTATTGTCATTTCTGGCTAAGCAATGACATACATCTACCTAATCTATAGCAATTAAATATGACTGTGGCGTGGAATTGCATGGAAAATAGATCATTTCAGCACAAGACTTCGTAGAAAAGCCATTAATAAACATTACAGCCATACTCAACGGAAAACAGAACGAACAAACAAGACTATACTCACCCTTCTCACTATCATCATCATCATGATCATGGTCCCCTCCCCTTGGACCTTCTTCATCATCATCACCACTTCTTTTATTAAGTCCAAGTCTATTTTTCCTTGCCGCCTCCTCTTCCTCATCCTCTTCCCCCCTATCTGAGACATGACCTTCATCATCATCACTGGTTTTTTTACGTCCTCTCCCTCCTCCACCACCACCGCCACCACTGCCACCGCCACCGCCACCATTACCATTTTCCTTGTCTTCAAACCTTCCATGTTCACCAAATGCAGCAGGACCATTACTTGCTGCTTTCATCATCCACCTTTCGTAGCCATCAGCAGTTTCTTTCTATTCTTCATCTTCTCTTCTGCTTCCTCCAAAGTCAGTTGCTTATACTGTGCAACCTTGTTAAAGTTGTACCTAAAAGGACAAATATGCATATTACCCATCTGCTCAAATTCTTTGACCGGGGATTCAAATAGTATTAATAATAATCCTTCTAAAACAATCAAAGCTGAAATCATAAGAAAAATCTTCCACAAAACAATTATAAACACAATAAGCATACCAGGAACCCGCAGGAATGGCAACAAATTCCTTCCTTCCATCATCAGCAAGTAATATGTAGCTGATTGTGCACCTTCAAGTTGACCCTGGTACTGCGACTGGCCTGTTTCATCCTCAAGAGCCAGGGCTTATTCTTGTACTTCTC